TGTGACTAGACTATGTTGATGGTTGAACAACTCTATCAGTATAGTAAAAATAACTGAACTGTATGCTTTAAATTGGCATGGTATGGTAGTTCTCAATAAAGATATTTTTTTTAAAAATCCAGTAATCTAACATACTAACATGGAATATACCTGAAATTATAATCCATAATTTTTAAATTTTTATTTATTTTATGTGCATTGGTGTTTTGCCTGTAAGCATGTCTGTGTATAGGTGTTTTACCTCCATGCATATCTGTGCACCATGTGTGTGCCTGGTGCCTACAAAGGCCAGAAGAGGGTCTGTAGCTCCCTTGGACTCGAGTTACAGACAGCTTCAAGCTGCCATGTGGGTGCTGGGAATCAAACCCAGGTCCTCTGGAAGAACAACCAGTGCTCTTAAGCACTGAGCCATCTCTCCAGCTCCATAACCCATGATTATTGATGAGAGTCAAAACAAAGTTACAGCCCTGCTGTCTTTGGAAAAGTGTATTATTCAGACAATTTATTGTTATCTGAAGCTTCAATCAGCTATAGGTTTATTTATAACACAAACACCTATATTGGAGTTGTTGCCCACAGGGCTGGCACCAAACTCTATTAACATTCCATGTGTTTGAGAAAGATTAAAAGACTCTCAGACAGAACAATGAGTAATAGTTTAGAAGAACATCAAACATTTCATCACTAGCCATTAAAATATGATGTAAACTTTTTTATTGATTTTATTGCTGTATACTAATTCTACAAAGTCTTGGGTTTCATTATTTCCACACATGCACGATAATGTGCTTTGAACTTACTCACCCTCTTCATTACCCTTTCTTATACTCTCTCCTCCTTCACCCCTTTCCCCTTCCACATTCCCAATAGTCTTCCTTTTATGTGCATGGCTCTATCTTCCCTCCCTAAATATCACATTTTACAAAAAACATGTGATATTTGTTTTGTGAAGACTGATTTCATTTAACATTATGATCCTGCAGTGGCACAATTTCATTCGTTTATTCTTTTGGGGATGGTGAGTGGAGTATCTCACTATGTCACTTTGACTGGCCTGGGACTCCCTAGATCTGGCTAGCGAGGAACTCACAAAGATCCTTCTGCCTCTGCCTGAGTGCTGAGATTAAAGGCATGCACCACTACACCCAGATTTTGTTCAACTTTATGATGAATTAAAAACACTTCATTGTATTTATGTCACATTTTCTTTATCCATTCATGGGCATCTATGCTAATTCTGTAACTTAGCTACTGTGAGTAGTACTGTGATAAACATGTTTTCAAGAATCTCCACAGTCAGCTGACTTTGATCCTTTTGAATGTTTATCCTTTGATCCTTTTGAGTGCCATAAATGTATCACATGGTAGCTCTATTTTTCAGGTTTTGAGAAACCAGTATACTGATTTTCATAGTGGCTGGAGTCATTTACATTCCCACCAACCTAATTTGGGGTTCCTTTTTCCCTAGCTCCTCGACATCATGTGTTATTTGTTTTCTCGATGACAGCCATTCTGACCGTGGTGAGATAGAATATCAATGCAATGCTTTTTGCTTGGCTTGGTTTGTGACAGGGTTTTATGCAGCCCAGCCTGGCCACAGACTCACCATGTAGCAGATGCAGGTCTTGAAGTCCTGGTCATACTGCCTCTACCTCTAGCATGTATGTGCTACCATGTGCATATACCATTCAGTTTATGCATGCTGAGGATCAAACTCAGGACCTTGTGCATGCCAGGAAAACACTCTACCAACTCAGGTACATCCCATACTTCAATATAGTTTTGATTTGTATTTCCTTTAATGGATACAGAGGTTGACATGTTTTTATGTAGTAGTCATCAATACGTCATATTCAATTCAGTCCCCATAAAAATTCCAATGATATTCTTCACAAAAGCAGAAGAAAATCCTAAAATTCACATGGAAGTATGTAAGAGTCCTCAATTAGCCAAAAAGCTATCCTAAGCAGAAAGATTTATACAAGAGGCACAACAAAAGCTTAGAGCCAGCCGGGTGGTGGTGGTGCATGCCTTTAATTCCAGCACTCGAGAGGCAGAGGCAGGCAGATCTCTGTGAGTTCAAGGTCAGCCTGGTCTACAAAGCAAGATCCAGGACAGCCACCAAAACAACACAAAGAAACCCTGTCTCAAAAAAACAAAACAAAAACCAAACAGACAAACAAACAAAGCGTAGAGCCGTAGTATAAAGCAGCATGGTGCTGACACAAAGGCAGACATGCCGAGCAGTGAACTGAATAGAGCATCCAGACACAAAGCCAGACAGTTACAACTACCTACTCTTTGGCAAAGGTGTCAAAAACATATTGGATAAAAGTTAGCATCTTCAATAAATGGTACTGGAAAAACTGGGTATCCACATAAAGAAAAATGAAACTAGATCCCCATCTCTCACCTGTCCAAAATCAATTCAAAATGGATCAAGGACCTTAATGTAAGGTTTGAAACTGCTAGAGAAAAACATACAATAACACAGGAACTAATCCCAAGAGCTGACACATGGGGACTGGAATAGAGCTCAGTGGTAGAGTGCTTGCCTAGCATGGACAGGGCCCTGAGTTCAATATCCAGCATTACGAAAAAAGAATTGACAAGTGGAACTATGTGAAATTAAAAAGCTTCTATACAACAAAGGAGAATTAGCAAAATGAAGAGACAGCCAACAGATTGGGAAAAAATATTTGCCAACTATATATCAGACAAGGACCTAATATCTAAAATCTATTTAAATTTTTTCAAAAATTAAACATCAAAAAAATAATCAAAAAGTGGACTAATGAGCTGAACAGACCTCAAAAGAAGAAACACAAAGTTGGGTGTGGTGGGAAGTGGAGGTAGGAAGATCAATAGTTCAATGTTATCCTTAGCTACATCATAACACTTTCCGTAGTGTTATATTAGCCAAAAAGCTATCCTAAGCAGAAAGATTTATACAAGAGGCACAACAAAAGCTTAGAGCCAGCCGGGTGGTGGTGGTGCATGCCTTTAATCCCAGCACTCGAGAGGCAGAGGCCTCTCGAGTTTAAGGCCAATGCATGGCACATTAAACTTTGCATTTAAAAAAAAAGTACAAATGGCCAATAAATGTTTGGGAGAGTGTTCAATCTCCTTAGCCACGAGAGAAATGCAAATTAAAATTGCTTTGGGATTCTATGTCAGAATGACTATCTTCAAGGAAAACAGATGACAAAAAAAAATTCTGGCAAGAAAGAACATGAGGAAGAAGTTCCCTTATACAAGGCTGATAAGAATGTAAACCTATGTAACCACTACGGAAAGCAGTGTGGGGGTTTCCCTACGTACCACTCCTGGGCATATATCCAAACATTCCCAGCCATGTTTATTGATGGAATAGCAAGGGCATGGAATCAGCCCAGATATCCACCAATAATTGGATGAATAATGAAATTATTCATATACATGCACATATACACAATGAAGTTCCAAGTCATAAGAAAGTGAAATCCTGGCAACTTTCAGGAAAATAGATGCAACTGGAGATCATTATATTAAGTGAAGAGGCATTTATGTATGAAAATATGATGAATCCCATTATTGTGTATGGTGTAGCCATTGATAAGGTACTCATGAGCCTGTAAATAACTCCTTACCCATGCTTGTGTAAGCAACCCTAATTAAGCTTATTGGATCACCAAGACAAGATATGGAAATAGAAAAGGGACCAGCTGGGAAGACTGGAAGACAGAAATCAGCAAGAGAGGGTAATGGTGGTGAATATGATCAAAATACATCATATAATATACAAAATATGCATAATGAAACCTATTATGTATAATTACTATATGGTAATAAAAATGTTTAAGAAAAAATAGGCCGGGCGGTGGTGGCGCATGCCTTTAATCCCAGCACTTGGGAGGTAGAGGCAGGCGGATCTCTGTGAGTTCGAGGCCAGCCTGGGCTACAGAGTGAGTTCCAAGACAGGCTCCAAAGCTACACAGAGAAACCCTGTCTCGAAAAACAAAAAGAAAGAAAGAAAGAAAGAAAGAAAGAAAGAAAGAAAGAAAGAAAGAAAGAAAGAAAGAAAGAAAGAAAGAAAAAGAAAAGAAAAAATAAAAATTTTAAAGTGAAAAAATTGCCATCATATTAATCATAACAGTGATAATGATAATGATTGTGGTGATAACAATGACAATAACCATACCAATTCATATATATTAGACCAAAGCTAAAGATCACTGAGTACAGGGATAAGCCTTCTAGTAATGGTCCAATATCATGGGAATTTGCCAGATTTCTTTGGGAGAATCATCCTCATTTAGTTTAAAGCTTTAAAACCCTGAGGTATCTTTAAATGTGATTTAGGGCCCCTTACATTGTTCTCAAACCTCTTTTCAAATTTTTTAGGTTCATTATACCTTGCTAATGCCCATCAATTAAAACTCCAACTTAAATTATTTACTCAAGGCTAGAGAACTGGCTCAGAGGTTAAGAGCACTGTCTGTTCTTCCAGAGGACCTAGGTTCAATTACCAGCACCCACATGGCAGCTTGAAGCTGTCTGTAACTCGAGTCCAAGGGAGCTACAGACCCTCTTCTGGCCTTTGTAGGCAGCAGGCACGCACATGGTGCACAGATATGCATGGAGGTAAAACACCTATACACACAAAAATAAATAAATTTTTAAAATTATTTACTAAGGACTTAAAGCCTACTTAAACAACTTGCCTAGCATTATCTGCCTTTGTTTGGCTATACATAATTTCACATCCAGAAGGTCAAGAGATAATGATATTATTTCACACACTCTACTTTTATGAAGAAAAAAGAATTATACACATTATTCAGTGTGTATATTTGAAAGGCCAATCCTCAAATGAAGCATGAAAGGAAACGCTATAAAAGCTCATTTTCCAGCATTTGTGAAGACATAAACTATGATTTACTTCTACATACATCCTGATTAACATAGGAAGGTTTTTGGTTTTGTTTTGTTTTGCAGGGGAGGGTGTTTCTGGTTTTTACCTCCATCCGATTCAAGTCACAGGGTTGTTGGTTTGCTGGCATTGACTCAGAATAAGAATCAAATATTGCACACTCCCACTTGGATTTCGGGAAAGCTAGTAAGGAAGAAAAAAGAATATGTAAGAATATTTACTAGTACTCGGGAGGCAGAGCCAGGCGGATCTCTGTGAGTTCGAGGCCAGCCTGGTCTCCAAAGGAAAGGTGCAAAGCTACACAGAGAAACCCTGTCTCGAAAAACCAAAAAAAAAAAAAAAAAAAAAGAATATTTACTAGAGCCATAGTGGAATTTCTTAGCTGTTAAATATAACAACAAAGTCAGTTCGCTCGTATGCACTACCCACATCACTAGTTGTGGTGAGAGCATTTGAAGGTCCTTACAAACACAATCTAGTATTGCCATTCCCATTTCATACATGCAGAAACTGAGGAACAGGGAAGGTAAACAACTTACTCAAGGGCATACAGCCAGTTAGTGACCGGCAGAGACCAGAACACTGGGCAGTCCAGCTGAAGAGTTCTTGCTCTTGGCAATGAATGTTTATAACATGGTAGCGATTTGCCATGTTGGCTATCATGATATGTTAAGTTTTAATCATACGAAACACAATTTTTAAATGCAGTAATCATAAAGATGGTTTGAGTACTATGAACATTAACTAGAAAATACTTCCTTTTCAAATTTCTAAAAATGAGCAAGATACTAAAATAATATATACCAAACATAATTTCACGAAATATTTATGTCTTTGGTTCGTAGGAATAACAAAAATGAAAGCATACATTCTTACTGACTAATAATAAATAAAATAGTATTACAGGTCTCTTGCACTGTACAAGAGCAAAAGGAGCTGTTAGTCAGGAAGCTAAGTAATTTGGCATGAGGAAGAAAGCATGCTATTTGACAAGCTAATTACCTAACACCAGGTTACTGCTTAGGAGCAGATTCTGCTTCACTACTCTGTCATGAAGTAATTAAGAATGAAATACCACAAGGACTTTTAGAAGTTGCTAATATTACAAAGAGGAAAAGCAGACTGGGGTAGATAATAAATAAAAGCTATAAATCAAATCTGTCAAAACACAGTTAGAATTCAATTTTTAATGAAATGCTTTTTAAAACTGGACTGAATGTAAAAAACTTGACTGGTGTCTTTTTTGAAGGTGGGGGTAGTTTCAAGACAGGATTTCTCTGTATAGCTCTCTGGCTGTCCTTTAACTTGCTCTGTAAACCAAGCTGGCCTCGAACTCACAGAGATCTGCCTGCCTCTGCCTCCAAGTGCTGAGATTAATGGTGTGTGCCACCACTGCCCAGCTCAGTTCTATATATTTTTATTTAATTTTGATTATTTGAGTCTAATTTTGTAGCTTTGGATAGCCTTGAATGCACTTTTTATAATAGGCTGGCCTTGAACTCACAGAGATCCGCCTGCCTCTGCCTCCAAGTGCTGAGATTAATGGTGTGTGCCACCACTGCCCAGCTCAGTTCTATATATTTTTATTTAATTTTGATTATTTGAGTCTAATTTTGTAGCTTTGGATAGCCTTGAATGCACTTTTTATAATAGGCTGGCCTTGAACTCACAGAGATCCACCTGCCTCTGCCTCCAGAGTGCTGGGATTAAAGGCGTGCGCCACCGCTACCTGGCAATTGGAGTTGGTTTTTAGCCCTTACTCATCTTCCCATCACTGCTGTGCACTGAAGTGCTGGCTCAGGTACCACTACCATGTGGGGGCCAGTAGAAGACAGTCCTGTGCAGGAAGTTAACACTTTTGAAAGACTCCAAATGACAACAATGAACAGCTAACTCTCTCCACCCTATCTTCTATGTCTCTGTGTCCACTGTCACCTCCCCAGGCTGAGTCCTCCTCTGCTCTTGACTAGTCTTGCTCTGTGGTAGGCAACCCATAGAATCATTGCAGACAAGGAATCGAATTTTGTCACTTCCTGCCTAACACAGGCCAATGCTATTGCTCATGATATGTTTTCTGCTTTTCTCTTCAGCCTCCTCCTGGCCTCATCTTTGTTCTATACACTCCAAGCACTGTGGCTTGAAGTTTCCATCCCTTGGGTATTCCAAACCCCTTCTCAACACCTCTCAGCCTACCTGCTGCCCGTCTCTTCCCAGACCACGGAGAAAATACAGCTCCTCTCACATAGTAAAGACTTAAAATATTTTAACAAAAATTTTCTCCAGGAATCCACCCAGTCACCCAGATATAGAAGTGTCAAAAGGGGCTCATGGACAGTACACCAAACAATGATATGTAACCTTACAATTCTGTCCTCTAATTTGGAGAAAGGGATTAGCTCTATGCTTATAAGTAAAATGGCATCTGAATTTCCTATCTCCTTATTAAATTCCTATCACCTTATTTAAAAAACAACCCTATAGTTCTGAATTACCTTACTCAAGACCACTTAGAGATACTAGGATATGTCTCAAGATGCCAAGCTTGTAATTAGAGCTATAAGATGTACTTTCCAGCGACAGTGGGATTCAGTATTTGCTGTCCATAACTGTCATGAAAAGAGAAGCGATATTGCTTCTAAACCACCCAGAAGGCACCAGAAAAAGAAGAACAGATGTCATACTTCCCTAGACCATCCCTATACCTCATGTTCTAACATGTGAAAGTCTGACACACGTTAAAGAAAGTATCTTCAGAGCCGGGCAGCCGTGGCACAAGCCTTTAATCCCAGCATTCGGGAAGCAGAGCCAGGCAGATCTCTGAGTTCGAGGCCAGCCTGGTCTACAGAGTGAGTTCCAGGATAGACTTCAAAACTACATGGAGAAACTCTGTCTCGAAAAAAGAAAAGAAAAGAAAAGAAGAGAAAAGAAGAGAAGAGAAAAGAAAAGAAAAGAAAAGAAAAGAAAAGAAAAGAAAAGAAAAGAAAAGAAAAGAAAAGAAAGTATCTTCAGATAGCAAGGACTCCCTGATGTCCAGATATCATTTTAAGAAATAAGAGTTTGTTATTAGGCCTCCACGAAAAACAGCTAAGGTTCATGGCCTATGATGAGGCCTTACCTGCTTGCAAGTACTCTGGCTGCAGAGTAGGAGGCAGGCCCTCTGGCAGTGGGTAGCCGTTCTTCCGTGCTACAATGAGATGAAATGCAGCACAAAACTCAGGCAAGGTCAGGGCTCCGTCACAGTCAGCATCACTGAGTTCCCTAAAGATAAGAGACGTCATGAGTACCTGTCATGCAGCATCAGCCTCAAGCATGCACACACAGCTCCCAGATTCCTGCCCATGGCCTGTGGTATCCTCCGAGTTTCCTAGGCAAACCAATGTGAAATCCCGAGGGCCACTCAGAGGAAGAAAACAAGCTGATCTTTGGCAGTATCATCAGTGGCACTTTGTAAATGAAAATGGAAATTCTTCAGGCTCTCTGATGGGTCTGCTTTTCAACACTGAGACAAGGCATAGGAAACTGCAGGGAGGAAACAAAGTGATGCCTGGGGTTCTGCAGCTCTCGGACAGTTAGTCGATAAGGACAGGCTGCACAGGGTGAAGAGTGCGGGACTTAAGGCTGGAAAAGAGCCAAGGAAGTAGAGACTCCGCCACGAAGGGAGTTCATTCAGAGCGTGGACATAGGCACTTCCTTTTTCCAGTTTTAAGGTTTTCCCTTAATGTTTTCAAACAGTGTACATGTTGGCAGCAAGTTAGTCTCTGCATGAGAATAGAGAGCTGGGCATGATGGTACACACCTGTAAGCCCAGCACTTGGGAAGCAAAGGCAGAAGGATCAGGAGTTCAAGACTAGCCTTGGCTACATAGTAATTTCAAAGCCAGCCTGAAGTCCACGGAACCCTGTTTGAATACAGAGAGAAGAGACAGGCTGGGGCAAGGGAAGAAGAAAGAGGAAGGAGATGGAAGAGAGGGACAGAGAAAGCAAGAGAGCAAGAAGGATGAGAGCGAAGAGGGGACAGAGAAAGCAAGAGAGCAAGAGAGAGAGTGTGTATAGAAATACAAATAGGTTCAAGAAATACTGGTTGCATCATATTTTATTCTAAAAGTACCCACTAGAAAAGGCTGGAACTGGAAAAGACGAACACGAAGAAGAAGAGGAATCTTGAAAAGACTTGTCTTCACTTCAGTCACCGTCTCTCACTAAAAGACCCAGACTTCTTCACTGAGCACAAAAGAAACCTATTTGCCAAAAGAACTAAGACCCCTTAAGCACCAACGTCTCTGTGGTGTACAGACACAAGCATACTTCTATTAGGACAAGTATAGAGATAAGACTCGTGTAAAACTGTACTAAAGAGATGCTGCTATTGGAAAAATATAAAAAAAAACATTTCTAAGGGAAGGTCTGTAACTTTGCTTTGGACCATTCACATCCTCTTATTCCCCATGAGACTCTTGCTCTAATTCAAAATGCACCAGCCCTGAAACAGCTGCTCCCCGGGGTGAGGCGTCTGGGAACTGCTTCAGATGCTGGATGGAGAGTATGCCATTTAGCCTTCCTACATTTATCTCAACAAAAAGACAGGAAGCCTCACAGGGTAATGTTAAGCCTGGGAGTTCTGCCAAAACCGACTATATTCTTTTTTAAATGGTCATTTTTTTCTACCCTTAAAATCTAACATAAGGCTTGTTGCAAAAAAAAAGGAAAAAAAAACTCAGACTATATGTATATGGCTGAAGAACCTAAATCCAGCTCAAAATCCTAGCTATGCTGGCATGCACGGTATGATTGGAATAGTTTTTCAATAAGATTACACAATACATAGTGTGCAATTCTAAATTCTATCATAATTTTGTAATGCCTCATGAAAAAGCTTTACATAAATATTCCAATGTTTTAATATATATTTATAACAGCATGATCCACAAAGGCAGGAGTTTATGGTCCTGCGCACTTTCATAGATGCAAAGAGAACCATCTGGCCCATTGCAGCACAGCCCTCCTGGAGCTACAACTGTGGCAGGCCTCAGCAGCAAGGCAGAGCCGACACTGCAGCTGCACATGCTGAATTAGGCCCCAGCTGTGAAACACCTGCCAGATTTACAAAGCTCACAGGCATCTAGAATAGACAAATTTAACTTCGTTCCAAAATGTTCTTGGACCTTCTGTTCACCCTACCTTATAAAATATTATGAAGAATGGTTTTTCAAGGTCCCCTGGCTCCTTGCCTCACACTAAGTAAAAAAAAATTATAAAAATAAAATATATGACATAGTGTCTCACATGTGCACAACTGCCTAGACTGAAATCAGGATGAGAAAAGAGTAACAAGTAGGAAATTACTTTTACACACACACACACACACACACACACACACACACACACACACACACACACACGTCTCTGTGTGTATGCCATATGAGTACAGTGTCCTAGGAGGCCAGAAGAGAGTGTTGAATGCCCTGGAGCTGGAGTTACAGCAGTCCAGAGTACCATGAGAACCAAAATCTGCTCCTCTAGAAGAAGAGTCATTTCCCCAGCCTGAGGAAATTACTTTTAAACTAGTAGCTAATACTTAGGGTTCATAGTACACACCTGATACTGTTCATTGTGTTTTTCATATGATTTTATTTAATCTTCATAGCAACAAAACCCTGAGTTCTATTCACTCTCAATATTTTTTAAAATCATTCAAAAAATAAACTTTTCAGGGCTGGGAGTGTGGCTCAGCAGTGGAACACTTACCTGACATGTGTGATGCCCTGGGTTCAAACCTTACCACCACCAAAAAAAAAAAAAACATTAAAAAACAAAACTTACTTGAGAGGCTGAGGCATAGCACTTGCTGCAAGTCTGAGGCCAGCCTGGGCTACACAGTGAGTTACAGGTCAGCCTGGGCTACCGAGTGAAACTTTGTCTCAAAGCAAACAAAAATCACATCTTAAACAACTAAGATTTTCAAAAGTGCTAAAAGAAGAACATATGATACCACTTGGCAGTAATGGTACTCACCAGATATAAGAGAGTTCTGGGATGGAGAGCTTTGATTTGGTGAAGAAGTTCTTGGCCACAGACCCTGTCAAAAGCCATTATTTAAACAAGCCATTAGTTCCTTGTCTGCAGCAGATTTGATGTGCAAGCCAATCAGCACTTTTTCATTCAGCACTCTCTCTAAACAACCACAAATACATGCATTCTACAAGCAACAACAAGTCACAGGACTTTAGCAAGAGCAGCATGGGGCTTGCCTAGCCAAAGACTGTTCTGTGTTGTTGCAAACATGAGAAAAATATAAATAAAAGGAATATAACATATGTAAAAAGAAGCAATGACAATGCTCATGATAAATACTAACCATATAAATTCCTGCTTTGCTTCTACCAAAACTGCACATTTTTTTTTTTTTTTTTTGGTTTTTCGAGACAGGCTTTCTCTGTGTAGCTTTGCGCCTCTCCTGGAACTCACTTGGTAGCCCAGGCTGGCCTCGAACTCACAGAGATCCGCCTGGCTCTGCCTCCCGAGTGCTGGGATTAAAGGCGTGCGCCACCACCGCCCGGCTACAACTGCACATTTTTACTAAGAATTCCTAAGAATACTTTCAAAATTACTTAAGTAAGAAATATGTTGAGTTTTATATTTAAAGAATAGAAAAGCAATGCAGAGCATGGCAAAATGACGAGCAAAAAGAAAAAAAAAATGGTATCATTAATACCACCAGAAACAAGAGAGACATCTTGAGAAATCTTTTTGATGAGATTTACGACCTCTTGAGGGTGCTTTGAAGAATCCATCCAGGACTCTTGGCATTGTAAATTTGCCTATGTCAGTTAAATTTGAGCTATCATCCCATTGTCCTGGCTGTACTTGAAATGTTAGCCTTCACTGAGCTCTTTCATGCTTCCAGCTCTCAGCAGCTTCACAACTCAAAAGCCTCATTTCTAATACAAGAGAGCATTAAAGCACCAAGTTGTTCTAAGCTAAGGTAAAAGTCTCAAGAGCAATTACAAGTTTTCTAATTGGCCTTAAACAATAGGAAGAGGTGGGAATGCAGTTGGTGGCAGAGTACTTGACTGCCATATGCAAAGCTCTGGAATCCATGCCCCAGCACTACAAAAACAAACAAAAAGCAGGCCAGGCATGGCCTGCACACCTTTAATCCCAGCACTCAGTAGACAGAGGCAGGCAGGTCTCTGTGAGTTCGAGGCCAGCCTGGTCTACAGAGCGAGTTCCAGAACAGCAAGGGTTACACAGTAAGACACTGTCTCAAAAATAAACAAAATAAAATAAATTTTAAAAAGGATTATAATAGATCCTAAAGCAATACTTATTTTCTTCTGATAAATTATGAAGGATCAAAAGCAAAGTATTAATAAACCAATGAACCTTCTCTCCAAAAGCACCCTGTCAATAATGCTAACACATGACTCTTGGCTACCAATGCAACCAACAACCTTGTGCCACTTGACAGACAGAACTTGTCAGCCTATTTACCAACTATTCTTTATTAACCAAGACATAAAGACATTCTCCTCTCCTCCAAGTCTTTTTCTGCTGGACCCTCTCTCTTCAAAGCACAGTAGATCCCACCCACTAGCTAGTGCTGGCTTTCACATAGGAGACTTGTACCATAGAGTCTCGGAAACATTAGGTGGAAGGCACTGGGAAGCTGACAGCTATCAAATTCAGCTATGTTCCAGATGCCACCAGCTAAAGAAGGGAGCTAAGGAGAAAGCCTGAGTGCTCTCTCCTTTGAGTACACCAAGTGAGACATACTCATGTACTTTCACCCCACCTCCACCATCAAGTTACCAGAAAAAGAGACTCCATTTATATAAAAAACCCAGAATATACAAATCTAGAGAGAAAAAAAAGGACGTCAATAGTGTCCTAGGACCAGGAGGTGGAGGAGGCAGGAGTAGGGAGTGACTGCTACAAAGTGGGTGGATTATAGAGGGGTGATAGAAAGGTTCTAAATTCAGGTTATGAATCTAGTCCAAGAATGAACAAAAACCACTGAACTGCACAGTTTAAACGGTAAGTTTTATGGTATATGAATTATAACTCAATTAAGATGTTTATTTTTAAAGCCATTGACTGTCATTTATGAACCCCTTCATTGTGATCAAACTAAACATTTTAAAGGAACTTAGGGGGTTGGGGATTTAGCTCAGTGGTAGAGCACTTGCCTAGCAAGCGCAAGGCCCTGGGTTCAGTCCTCAGCTCCGAAAAAAAATAATAAATAAATAAATAGAGGAACTTAGAAGACAATCAGAAAAATTTGAACAATGAAGTCTTGATTGTATTAAAGAATCTGTTATTTTTTCTCACATATAACAATGAGTTCTGTTATTTTTATACGAGACCCAAAGATATATCCTGTAATATTTTTCAAATCAAATGTTCTGGCAATTATATTGCAAAATCATCTTGGCTGAGAAGGAACAAAGATTGCTGACACTTGTCCATGGGGATTCATTATACTGGCAAGTCAAGTTGTATCTATGCTTGAAATTTTGCAAAAATAAAAAGGTTGAAAGAAAATAAAAAACACTTCTAACAACTACTTATTCATACTTGGCTAAATATCTGCATATATTGTAAAAAGGCTTAGTTGAGCAAGAGGTAAGGTTACCCCATTGTCAATACATATTATCTAGATTTCTGCTTGTCTTTTCTAAATCATGACAGTAAAATTCATTCATTATTTCTATACTGTTCTACCTTCCATAAAACCATTACCACCAATCACCAAAATGATGTTTGCCTTTGCATATACAAGACTATATCAATTATATACCTTATTCAGAGAAAATTAGTCTTAATCCATGCTTCACTGCTAGTTTAGAATGATCAAAAGCACACTGCTATTCTTTAAAATTGAAGTGTAAGATGAAAGTTTTATAAAGTTTTCTTCCAGACTCCACTATTTCGCTGCTTGTTTAGCCTGGTAAAATGTAGGCACATGGGAATTAAATCAATCCCTAGGCGGTGGTGGCTCATGCCTTTAATCCCAGCACTCGGGAGGCAGAGGCAGGCGGATCTCTGTGAGTTCGAGGCCAGCCTGGTCTACAAAGTGAGTTCCAGGAAAGGAGCAAAGCTACACAGAGAAACCCTGTCTCGAAAAAAAAAAATCAATCCCTCTCAGCTTGAATTTTACATGAGGGTACAACAGGAATGCAGGTATCTGAAGATAATCCAGAAGAACTGACATTGAGAAAAAACTGGCCAGTTTTCCTCTCACATCCTAATTTCAAAAACCAGGGAAGAAAGACTTGCGCCAAAGAAATGAGCATGACCCGAAACTTCTAGGAGCATAAAACACAAGGAGCCCTGAGCTGGAGGGCCATCTTTGTCTTTGCTCTAATACAATGAATAAGCAATTGAAGGCGTCCCTTGGCACTATCATCTACTATTCCAAGTGGTTTGGCTGAAAAGGCGCAGGGTCTGGACCAAGTTCCCCCAAATTCCCATTTAAGCCCTCTGCAATGGCAGTATAATTCTCCCAGGATCATTAGCATTTCTTTTCTGCATGACTTACATTTGATAAGAAATTCCACCTTAGAGAAATATAAATTGGAATCAGAGAAGGCTGTGATATTCATTTTGTAACAACTGGTTCTCGAGATGTTCCCCACTATTCACATGGGCACCATGTTCTCTCACCTGAAATGAAGGAACTCGGGTCTGGCTGGAGGGACCGAAACTGATTGACATAGTACTCCCGCTGTTCTTCTGTTATCCTCCAGGGCTCATCTGGGTAATTACTGTTGTTATCCTGCAGTTCTCTCTCCACTGAAAAGGACTTTAAAAACAGTGCTCACAGAACCTTCCTTTCATGAGATGACGTATAAGAGTTAAATAGCAATGAAAGTTATTTTATATTTCTCTTCACTTTTCCTCAAGGGAATAAACATAACTGCCTCATAATAAGAATTGAACCAAAACATAAACTAGGACATAAAGTAGATATCAGGCTTTATGCTCTCTCGTATCTTCAAAGTTAACATGACTAAACATGAAATACTGAACAGTTAAAGAATGATGAAATTTTTCCAATGTGTTAAAAGACGGGTTTTTTAAAGACAGTCATTCTTATCTTCAGCTAGTCATCATATTTTGATCCTTTTAGATTAGCTAAGTAGATAACAAAATAATATGCTTTTTCACAAGTATGTGTGGTGGCACATGTATGTGGCAGCCCAAAGCTGATCATGTGTCTTCCTCAATTGGTTACCACCTCATGTATTGAGACAGGGTCTCTCAACTGATCCTTGAGCTCTCTGCTACGGCTAGGCTAGCTAGCCAGCTTGATTCAGGTCTCCACATTCCAAGCACTAGAACTGCAGGCAAGCTACCATGCCCAGCAGACATTAAATGGGTTCTGGGGATCTGAACTCTGGTCCTCGTGTTTGCATAGCAAGTGCTTTACCTACTGAGCATCTCCCTAGCTTCAGAGTCTCTTCTGCGCTGCACAGGACATACAGCTGCAACTATTACCACATAATCTTTTGGGGTTTTTTTCTTTTCTTCTTTCTTTCTTTTTTTTTTTTTTTTTTGAGACTGGATCTCATACTGTAACCCATGATTGCCTAGAACTTAATATGTAGCCAAAGTTGGCGCTGGATTTACTGTAATCCTGCCTCATACTCCTGGGTGCTGGGGTTAAAGGCATGAGCTATAATAAGGGGGTTAATCTTTTCTTTATTCCTGTTGCATTTACATTATATAAATCCAGGAGTCAAAATTTCCAAGTCAACCCTATGTCTCTGGGTCCTATTTGAGTGGCAAGTCAGTATCACTGAATCTGTCCTTCACATGTATGAGTTGGGAATATTTACTAAATACAAAGCGCGTAGTGAGAACTATCATGGTATTGCCATCAGCAGGGTAACAAGAGAGTGCATCAAACCTGCCGCTAGAGGGCAGGCATGCCAAATTTGAAGATTTCAGAGCTCAGAAGTCCAGAGACCCAATACAGAAGAAAACAAAAGCTATACTAGGCTTTGGGGACAGAAGCAAAATGGAAGTGCAGAGAGAAACATCTGGGGCTTTGCTCCATCCCTCCCATCTACAGCAAGAACACATATTTTTACCAATAGCCACATCCATGGAACCAAGACATGGCCACAGGGAAGGCAAAAGGAAACTAGGGGAAATAGAGGTTCTCACTGCACAGACAGCTCCATGCTCATTGCCAAACTGCTGCATCGCCTGGTACTAAACGGAAGCTCCTGCTCCCCTGGAGTGTGTTCCTTCTCTCCTGAGAATGAAGCCACCCTAGCTAATTGCTGCTCATGTTAGCCATGGTTGCTCTTTCTCCAGTCTCAAAAGCAGCTACTTTATTTCCTATCTGGGTAATGTTAGGAGCTTTTTTTTTTTTTTGGTTTTTTGAGACAGAGTTTCTCTGTGTAGGCAGGAAAAGGTGTTTGATCCCTCAACGTAAAAGTCTACAAACAGTCAGCATGATGGTAATCCTTCTGCTAAGGTAAAGCACTTATCCATCATGTATGTGACCCTTGAATCAATCTCCAGGCCAAAAAACAAGCCTATGAGATCATCTGTTGCTTATCAAAATAGTCCACCTCTTCTACCCAGCCCTCGGGACTCTTAAAATCCAAGCTACTCTTTGCTCACTTGGCAGGTTTCCAACTGCCCATGGGCTCACATGTCTGATGGACCAAACTTAACTCTTCTTCCCAGGAAGCTCTTCCTCTGGTGCCAAATCCTCCCTTTTCGCACAGCCTTCTGCTCCAAAGGACCATCTCTATATCTCTACCATGCCCACACCCATAACACAGGTCATTTCTTGCCCCAACACAGTCTATTACAAAGATAAGGTCAGCAGCCATGTGTGGATGAATGACCTGACTCATACCTGGTATCATGTGGCTAAGTTGGAATAACAGTGGGTGGGCACACAACACATTGGCCTCTGAGATGCTTTGGCATAGAAAGTTCTTTTCTTGAAAGAACAACTTTTGTAAGATGTTCATTCTTAAAGATATAAATAACAAATATACAGACCAACAAGCAGAGAAAGCAAAACCTGGACATACACATAGCCAGGCCATGATCCACAGCGAGGGCCAGGTGCAATTTAAAGCTATGAAAAAGTCATAAGAATCTTGAGATTGGGACAGAAGTGATAGAGAGAAAGGAGTGAGTGCACGCCTATAATCTCTGCAAACCAGGAGGCTGACTCAGGGGATCATGAGTCCAAGGCCAAGCTTGGCTGCAGAGAGAATTCAAGTTCTACATGGTAATATTGTATCTCAAAAAATAAGAGTAAAAGATAAAAGAGTAACGAGGTTGTTAGGAGCTGAAAGACAAGTGAGCCAAGCAGTGGGACAAAAAAGGGTCTAAAGGACCCGTAATGGAAGAAGGAGTATGAAAAGCAAGGAGGAGAAGCTGTGTCTGCAAAGGCTAACTGATTAGAAGTGCAGGACTGTGGAGAGACTGGAATGGTGCAGGTCCAGAGGCTAGTTACCTTATCTTGGGCTAAGTTCGAGCCCTCCAGAACAGCCATCCCTTGCTCACCAGCTTTGTGACAGAACTGACATCTCGTGACTAATAGTTAAAACCCTTTTGGAATCTATTAGCAGACCACTAGCTTCTACCAATCCAAAAGCTAAGACTGTCAACAGATAGCATCTTGAGCCTATAGAAAAGCTTCCTCCATCTTGCTGAAACTGCCTCTAGGATATACCCTCTAATGGATTTTAAACTTGTCACTTTATTTATGACTTTCTTTGTTCTGTAAAACTATAAAAACACCATGAAATTGTTTCACTGTTAGAACATGGAATTTGGGGTAACATAAATCTGTACTCCATATTCCCAGGCCATGACCATTCAAAATGGCTACAGAATAAATAAAAACAACCTGGCAAGGTGCTTCCGCAAGTAAGAGCTGACAGCAAGTAAGGCTGACAACCTCAGTTTGGTCGCCAGAGCCCAAATGGTAGAAGGACAGGACTGGTGACCAGAAGTTGTCCTCTGACTCCACACACGTGCCCTCACACATACACACATACTTAAATAAACATTAAAAAGGAACTCTAGGGCTGTCAAGATGGCTTGGTGTGGTAAAGGTGCATGCTGTCATGCCTGACAACCAGAGTTTGATCCTCAGGAGCAACATGGTAAAAGAAAGGAAGCAGGGCCGGGCGGTGGTGGCGCACGCCTTTAATCCCAGCACTCAGGAGGCAGAGCCAGGCGGATCTCTGTGAGTTCGAGGCCAGCCTGGGCTACCAAGTGAGTTCCAGGAGAGGCGCAAAGCTACACAGAGAAACCCTGTCTCGAAAAACCAAAAAAAAAAAAAAAAAAAAAGAAAGGAAGCAAACTAACGGTTTCAAGTTGTCCTCCGACCTCTACATATGCACTGTGACATGGAGACACACACACACACACACACACACACACACACACACACACACACACACACACACACACTTAAATTTAACAATTCTTAAAGAAAAAAACACTGGGCCACTCTACTCCCAATTTCTCTTTTTTTCTTCCCATGAGAACCCAAACCCCTCATTTCTAAGAAAGCATAAGGTGGCAAGGAACATTCTTAGTTCCTAGAACCCAAAAGGTCTTACAACAAAGGGAGGGCATCTGAACACTGTGGTCCTTCAGTCACCTGTGCCCCTCATGAAATCTCAACCATATGGTGGTACAAAGAAGACCTGAACACTGACAACACCATTTGGCATGCCAGTGTGAACTCGGGAGATCTCATAAGCCCTCACCCCTAGATAAAGAGCTATAGATAATGAATGACTGCGAAGAGAGGTAGAATCCGTGTTCCCCAGGGAGAAGCTCCCTCATTGGCTATCCAGCCCAAATGGGCATCCACAAAAACACACATATTAGAGCAACACTAAATGAATTAAACAGGTTATACTTATACACAGAAATGATTTATATATATATATATATATATATATATATATACACTGAAATGATTTTTATATATATATACACACACACACATATACGTGTGTGTGTGTGTGTGTGTGTGTGTGTGTGTGTGTGTAACAATAGCAATTAAAGAAAAAGAGGCTGAATTTGAGAGAGAGTGGGGGGACATGGGAAGAGATGGAGGGAGGAGGGAAGAAATGACATAAATACAGTACTCCTATGAAATTCTCAAAAAAATAAAAATTACACTAAAATGAACTGGGTTTTAGGGAGTGTGAGGGAACTGCAGGAAGAAATGGGAGGTAGCTGTGATCATTTTGTTGTATACATGTATGAAATCCTCAAAAACAAAGAAAAGTTTAAAATAAAAAAGGAAAATCTCTGAGTCTGTTTGATCTTTTAAAGTTTGAGCTCTACAAGTATGAGCTCTGTCTTTCTGTTCTTCACTTGCAGTCTAATCTTTGTGGGAGTTTATGTGTCCTGTATCTACTGAGTTACTTCAAGAACAGATAGATACTGGCATATGGAGGAAGAAATGACTCCCCACACTTCATGAAGATAAAAATAGTCCCCAAAACTGACCCATTAGAAGAAGCAAAATAAGTTAAACTTCATTGCACAAACAGTGACGTGTTCATTCTCACATCAACAGACACTATTGAATACCAACAAACCCAGACCTTGACTGCTAGAAACATACTGATAGACAAACAAATTCTCTTTCTCAGAAAGCTTAGTGCCCAGTAAGAAAGAAAGGCACACAGGCAATCTCAAAACAGTAAGGGAAGTGTTTTAATAATATGAGGTAGCCTGGTCTTTCCTACTCAAACTCTGGTCCCCACACATATCAGCATGAGTAGGGGACTTGTTAGAAAT